TCCCCTCTTCCCCTCTTTGTACGCTTTCTGTTTTTTCCTAATCGCCCCTTTGAGTCGGTCGCTCATCCAACAGATCAACTTCTGTTAGGGTATGTCTACTTACATTTTATTGCGCTCTAACTTGCTGGCTCAGGGATGTGAAAAATCACCCCTCTGAGCGCAGCAAGTCTGAGCGCTTTAAAGTGCTAGTGTAGACAGGCTCAGGCTTGTGGAGGTGGATTACCAGGAGCACTGGGAGAGCTCTCTCCCAGCGCTCGCGCATGACCACACTTGCACTTCAAAGCGCTGCCACGGGAGCGTTCCCATGACAGTGCTTTGAAGTTTCCAGTGTAGACATACCCTTAGTGAGAGAGACAAGCTTTCCAGCTACATGGAGCTCTTCCTCATGTCTGGGGAAAAAGGACAGGAGTACTTGTGGCACCTTAGAGACTAACAAATTTATTTGACCATAAACTTTCGTGGGCTACAGCCCACTTCTCCTGTTCTTTTTGCGGATACAGACTAACACAGCTGCTACTCTGAAACATGTCTGGGAAAGGAACTCCCAGAGTCACAGCAAAATGCAGGGGTGAGGAGATTGTTTAGCATAAGTAGTTAGCACATATTGTAAGGGGCCATTCAAGGTTCAGTGGCCCATTTACAGCTCTGTAGTCATAGGACAAAAAGGAGAGGGTTAGTGGGTAAAGCCATAAACTTACCCACTCTGTTCAGTCCATGATTTTTTGTGTCTTAATAGAGTAATGAATTTAAGCTCCCAGGCTCATCTTTTGAAAGTGTTGTGCAGGTTTCCTGTGAGGATGAGGACTGAAAGGTCAGATATAGAGTGATCACTTTGTGAAAAGTGTTCACCCCTCAAGTGATGGAGTATTTTTGTCTTACCATTTTCCTGTGAGAGTTCATTTGAGAGCATAATGAGGGTCTGGTTTCACCCACTTGGTACTTGTTATTGGGGCATTTAGTGCACTACGCTCAGGAATGAACTATATGTGCTAACTACTTATGCTAAACAATCTGTTCAATCTTACATGTTTGCTGTGACTCAGAGTTCCTTTCCCAGACATGAAGAAGAGTTCTGTGTAGCTAGAAAGCTTGTCTCTCTCACCAACAGAAGTTGGTCAATAAAAGATATGACCTCACTCACCTTGTCTTTCTAGTAACTACTTAGGGCTTGTCTACACTTACATTCTATAGCGCTCTAACTTGCTGGCTTAGGGGGGAGAAAAATCACCCCTCTGAACGCAGCAAGTCTGAACGCTTTAAAGCGCTAGTATAGGCAGGCTCAGAGCTAATCCCCTCATGTAGACATACTCTTATTCAAATAAAGAAACCGGCTTTGACTGGCTTTACGTGACAAAATACTTCTTGAGCCATCCCAAGTAACACATTCCTGTGACATGCCTCTCCCAGAACCGATTCTTTATTCTGCTGACATAAGTCATCTTAATTTGTCACAGAAATTATATAGACAGTTCAAGTATTATAGCTGGATTTGCAACAAATTGGTTGAATATTGTTTTTAGCTGGTATATGTTGTATGTTTACTAACAAAAAAAATGCAAAATAGAAAGAAGGGTACAATATTTGGCAGAATTTTGCCCAGAAATGAAACTTCATCTGTGGGAGTGACCCAAGAAGTATATTGTCACACACATCCAGTCAAAAGCCTAGTTCCTTATTTGAGTAACTATTAATATATATATATATAGTGAATTAATTATGTATATAAATTATAATAGAATTCAGCCACATTTATTTTGATGAAATTTCTAAAAATTTTATCTTCTGTTGATCAATTTTAGAAAAATTTTGACCTTTGAATATGGAACTGGGTACAGTAAATAAGGAACCATCTTCAGCCATGTATGCCATTTCGGACTAAATCAAGAATTGCGCTCTCCCCTTGTGGGTTCCAGGACAATCTGCTCCACGAAGCAGTCCTTTATGGTGTCTAGAAATTTTATCTCTACATCCTTTCCTGAGGTGACATGTACCCAGTCAATATGAGGATAGTTGAAATCCCCCATTATTATTGGACTTTCTGCTTTTGTAGCCTCTCTAATCTCCCTGAGCATCTCACAATCACTGTCAACTTCCTGGTCAGGTGGTCACTAGTATATTCCTACTGCTACACTCTTATTGTTCAAGCACGGAATTTCTATCCATAGAGATTCTATGGCACAGTTTGATTTATTTAAGATTTTTACTTTGACTCTGCTTTCTTTCATGTGTCACTCCCCCACCAATATGACCTACTCTGTCCTTACTATATATTTTGTAACCTGGTATTACCATGTCCCATTGATTATCCTCTTTCCACTAAGTTTCCGTAATGTATCCTCATTTGATGGTAGGCACTCTGGTTCACCCATATTAGTTTTTAGACCTCTAGCATGATTTTTACATTTTGCCAATATTCAGTTGTTTGCCTTCATGTGTTATATTTAAATGGGACTCTTTGACGTTTGACTGTTCCTCATTAACTCCTACCTGTACTTTACCAACTTCTTTCCTATTCTCTTTGTTAGGATGTAGAGTTTCCCCTTTAATGAATTCATCCCTAAGGGATGTGTTCACCTGAACCATGTGCTCTTCCATGCCTGTCAGCTTTTCCCCAGCCCTTAGCTTAAAAACTCCTCCACAACCTTTTTAATTTTACATGCTAGAAATCTAGTTCCATGTTGGTTTAGTTCATCCTTCCTGTATAGCTCCTCATTTCCCAAAAGGTTCCCCAGTTCCAAATAAACATAAAACCCTCCGTCCTATACCATCGTCTCATCCATGCACGGAGACCCTGCAATTCTGACTGTCTTTCTGGCCCTGCACGTGGAACTGGGACCATTTCGGAAAATGCTACCATGGAGCTCCTGGACTTTCATTTCTTACCTGGCAGCCTAAATTTGGAATCTCTCATACCTTTTCCTATGTCATTGGTACCTACATGTATCACAATCCCTGGCTCCTCTACAGGGCCAGCTCTGGCTTTTTTGCTGCCCTAGGGAAAAAAAGCCACCCCCCCCCCCGCCAGCGCGGCAGGGGAGGGCGCTGAGCAATCCCCCACCGGCCGGAGCGCCAGGGGGAGGGCGGCGAGCCTGCCGCGGCTCCGCTCTCCCCGGCGGCCAGAGCGCTAGGGGGAAGGCGGAGAGCCCCCGGCGGCCAGAGCGCCGGGAGGAGGGCGGAGAGCCCGGCCGCGGCTCTCCGCTCTCCCCGGCGGCCAGAGTGCCGGGAGCAGGGCGGAGAGCCCCCAGCGGCAGGAGAGCCGCGGGGAGGGCCGCGAGCCCAGTCCTGGCCCGCTCCCAGGCCAGAGCGCCCCGCGCGCCGCCCCCCTCCAGGCAGCCGCCCCAAGCACATGCTTGGTGGGCTGGTGCCTGGAGCCGGCCGTGGCGGCAGGAGCGCCGCGGGGAGGGCAGCGAGCCCAGTCGCGGCCCCGCTCTCGGGCCGGAGCGCCCCGCTGCGCCGCCCCCTTCTGGCGCCGCCCCAAGCACATGCTTGGTGGGCTGGTGCCTGGAGCAGGCCCTGCTCCTCTAGCAGTGCATATATGTCTGTCTAGATGTCTCATGAGATCTGCCACCTTTGCACCCGTTTGGCAATTTACCATGTGGATTCTCCTGGTCATTACAAACCCAACTATCTATCTTTCTAATAATCCAATCCCCCATTACTATTATCTGTCTCTTCCTAATAACTGGAGCCCCCCTTCCCACAAGGGGTATCTTCAGGGCAAGAGGATACCATGACATCATCTGGAAGTAGGGTCCCAATTATGGGACTGTTTTCCTCTGCTCCAGCTTGATGTTCTCCTTCTGCAAGATTGTCATTCTCCTTAACAGCACAGAGACTGTAAAAGTGGGCGTGGGACCACTCTATTGTGTCCCTGAAAGTCTCCTTCCTCCAGTTCAGCCACTCTGGCCTCAAGAGCCTGCATTGTGCCTCTGGGAGCCACAAGCTGCTTGCACCATATGCACACATTCTCCGCCTGTCCACTAATCAGGTAATCATACATGTTACATTCAGTGCAACTAACTGGATAGCCCCACTCTGCTGCTAGACTCTGCCTGCATTATTTTTACTCTTGCAGGGTTTGTTTTTGTTGTTTTGGGATATTTTTGTGAGGGAGTTGTTTTTTCTTTCTTTTTCTCTCTCTCCCCCTCCTTTGTTTCTTTTGTAGGGACTTTTCTGGTGCCCTTCCAGTACTTAGGTTATAGTCCCTCAGCCACCTTCTCCCCTTGCTACTGAACCCTCAGTGCAGCCAAACTCTCCTAACCTTGGTAGCTCACTCAGACGAGTGCTCTCCCACTCTGTCATGGGGCTCCTTATGCTCGAGAACTGGACCTGGAAGGAATGCCTCTCACGCTTCCTCTCTAAACTCCCCTGTTTGCTGCTGCTGGTCACTTAGGAGCTGGATTTTTAAACACATGTTCTCCCAGAGTTAGTCTCGCCTCCTTGTCAAAGGACCCTAAAGGGGTTATGGATCAAGGGATAGCAGGCTAGAGCCTGGATAGCGTAAACTCAGCCTAGCCAACCACTTGGCTCAGCACACAGCCCCCAAAACAGACCACACTACAATCTTCAGTCAAGCAGGAACACAGCAAGCAAGCCAGCACACAACAAACAAATGAAGTAAAGAGACAAGGTGAGTGGGGTAAAACACACCATTCAATAACGTGTAGCTCGAAACCTTGTCTCTCTCACCAACAGAAGTTGGCCCAATATAAGATATTAACTCACCCACCGTGTCTCTCTAGTATCCTGGGACTGCACAGCTACAACAAACAGAGAGCCTCACCTCAAAGATCACGTAGTCTCTCCTGACTCCTCCTTCACCTGGAGAAGTCCCTCAGAAAACTCCCTTGTTTGTTGCTCCTGTTCACCAGTGAATAGTTAATTCTGCAGTGCCTAGCATTGTACTAGGTGCTTTTCAAAACAATTGATAAGACTCCTGCCGCCAAGAGTTTACAGTCTAATCTTAAATGTGACACATGAGTAAGGATAACAAAAGGGGGTTGTGGCAGGGGGTGATGAAGGTATCACTTAAGCCAAAGGGATTCTCTGTTTAAGAATGTGATGATTCTGCTCTTGATTTAATTCACACATACTCACCACTTCTTGACGTGAGTGCTCTGGCAGAAGGGAATTTTAGGAGGGAACTGATAAGGAGAGGATAGTGGATTAGAATCAGATAGCAGGGAGAAGGGAAGTATTTCATGGGCAGGAAAAGCATGGAAGGAAGCACAGAAGTGGGAGTGGGACAAAAAAATGAAGAGGGGTTAATTGTGTTTTTTTTTTTCTTGTAAGGCTCATGGATACTAGAATAACTTGTGGATACCTAGGTATTCCCCACCCCTTTTCTAAACAAAACAAAAAGGTAAATTATTGGGCAAGGCCAAACAACTCAAACACAAGACTAGAGTGGTGCATTTTCATATTATCTATTTCCTGATAACAAAACTGCTGGGAGGGGCCATGCAGAAACTCAGCTGATAGGAACAGAAACAAGCAACTGTAGCAGCTACAGCCATAAGGAAGCAGGGAGCTGAGACCCAACCAGAGTTACTCCTCCCCTCCAGCATCCCGGACCCAGAACTCTGCAGGGGAGAGCCCTACTCTGGGGAGACCAAGGCCATGTGGTAGATGCTCCCACCATGTGAGCTCAAGAAAGAGAGAAACCACAGGGAGGCCAGGCCTCATCCAGAAACTCAGCCAGGAGGAGCAGTTGCAGCAGGGACTGGGGTATATCATCAGTGCCCAACTGCTTTCCTTCCCCTGTCCCCTTCAACTCGCTCCTGCCCCTTCCCTCATGGTCTCTCCATGTCAGCCTCATTTCAACAGCCTTCCATGCACCATTTCTTCCTTCCTCTTTTCCTTCCTCGTCCCTACTTTCTCTCTAGTTAGCTACTCCCCTCCCAATAAAACCTCACCCCAAACTGTAAAAGTAAAATAAAAAGAAACCAATGGAAAAAATGTATTGCACAAAAATTGCATTTATCAACCACCACATAGTTCACTTTTTTTTTGGTTCACTTTGTTTCTCTTATCTATATAGGCCATGCCTACACTGCAGTTAGTACACCACTTGTAAAAAAACAACAAGGAGTCTGGTGGCACCTTAAAGACTAACAGACGCATGCAGACATGGCTCCTTGTGTCGGCAGTGCATGCACTCACCAGGAGTTCTGATGTCAATGCAGAGTGCAGTGCCCCATAGAGAGAGAGATCCCATTGTGCAACTTGCCATCATCCAGTGTACATCCAGGGCTCAACTGAGTTGCGTGGGGTGACTGGGAACTTGGGGTTTCCAGTTTGAAACTGTCTCCATCACATGTTATCTGTATCCCATAATTTTTGCACCTTTTTTTCAAAATCCCACAAACCTGTGTGGCCCTCCTCGCTGTCCACCATCTCTAACAGAAGCATGGAGCCTGCACAGCTCTGCACTAGTGTCATGAACCTTATAAGCACAGAGCACCCAATCCTGGAATATTTGCACAGCCACAAGAAGAACTGGATCAGTGAGGAACATGATGATTCCTTGGAGAAGAGATTGCTGTGGGACATAGCGAGAACCAAATCAAGGTTGTTGGTGGCATTCATGGAGCAGCTGCAGATGGGAGCACCTCTGCTGGGCCTGAGAAACAAGCACTGACTGGTGGGATCACAGCGTAATGCACGTTTGGGATGATGAGCAGTAGCTGCAGAACTTTTGGATTGGCAAGGCCACATTCCTGGATCTGTGTGCTGAGCTTGTAGGGATATTAAAGAAGGTACTAACAGTGATTCCCTCAAGTGACAGTGACCCCCCCTCATAATTTGTCCTCCACACTTTAAAATCCAAAAGTTTCACCAAGTACAAAAATCTCTTGGGTCTTCTGTTAAAACTTGTAAGCTACAGTCTGTAGAAACCATTGATTATATCTATCCTGTGAAAGATACTTTATTACTATGTAAAACTTACAAACAAGTTAATTGACTTTGTTCTTGAAGTAATTGATACAATGTAAACAAACACTATAAGCCCGTAAGTGACTTTCACTTCTTTCAAAGGCTCCTAGCACAGACTCCCACCCTCTGTGATTAAAGGGCCGGGAGTCTCAAATAAATTAGCACACACCCTGAAAGTGGTGAAGACAGTAAATTAAAATATGGTTAAGATATGGAATGTATGCTGATGAATGCTTGATATACATGAATGGTTAGGGAGGTGCCAGCCTAGAAAGGGAGTATCCATCGGCCGAAGAATGTGTCAAGTGGATGACCAGACAACCCCCGGAGGGTAAACTGGAATCCACCCCATCACCTGGAAGGATGAGAAACACAAACTTTAAACAGTTTGGAGCCACCAGGAATGTGTCCAGGAATGTGCCATCTGCTGATTGAGTCAGTAACAGCAGGATGAAACAGCTCCCATAGACTAACATAGGAATTAATTCCTATAAGAATGGACTCTCAAGACTGATGACTTTGAGTCTCTGGTTCTGCTGCCAACCTCC